TATATAAAAAAATAATTGTTAAAAAATTTTCCATTTTCAAAATTTCAAAATTACACAAAAGCATAGGCTAGCGAGTAATTATTGTATTTATTTATTTATACAGTCTCAAAAAAATTATAAATAAAAGAAAATTAGCTAATATAAATTATTTGCCATGCATTTTCATTATTGATGACTTCTTTTTAATGAAATATTTACGTCAACTAATTGCTGCTTTAGCTTTTGTTCAATTCGGCACTAATTACGTGAAATTACTTTTTCCCACGCGTGTGCTTACATTTATGATTAATTTTTTATACAAATTTGTCTATGTTTAATTATGTATTTTTTATGATTTTTTCATCTTTGGTTTCTTTGCTTTATCTATTTTCACATTCATTATTCTAAGCTGCKTTTATTACAATTTTATCTATTTATAATGTCGTGTTGTTGTTTTTGCAAAATTTCTAAAGTGCATTTTAATCAAAGTGAAATGATTTTTTCTATTTTCACGCATTAATTTAGTCCGTTTGGCCTATGCATTGCCATGGCCCTAAGCAAAAACACACACCACAGTTGCCATATTCTGATTTCATTTGATAAAGCGACTTTGTTTTGCGCTCAACTTTTTTGTTGTTCGTTTTGTGATTTTTTTGTCTATAAGTATGTGTCGAAATTCACAGAAAATCGCTACTTTTTGCGCTTTTCTGAAGTTCTGTTTTTGCTTTTTGTTGTTGTAAAGTTGCTGGTGTTTGCTTATAATTACATATTTACCGTTTCTTTTGCATATATGTATGCGTGTGTGTTAATTACTTACAAACTAGCCGCAATATACAATAATACATTAATAATTATGAGCTTTGAATGGCTCCAAATGTGCCGCCATCGCCGTTACTACATACATAAATAAATATAATATTTATTATTTCCATTTAATTTTTTTTAGTTTTTGTTAAAAAATTATTTTTTATTTTTGGTTTTTGTTTTGCTTTTATTTACGGTGACTTAAAATGCTATTTACAGTGTTTATTCAAATACATTACGAGCTTGTTGAGTAAAAACTATTTCAAAGAAGTTCATTAAATTTGCGTCTACAAGCGGAAAAGTCGCCTTTTTGCTACTTTTATCAATAAAACTCTGTTTGCTGGTGGTACGCTTTTTATCCAACTCCACTCACACGCAGGCACAAGCCATCCTATATGTGTGTTTGGTTGCGTGTGCGTCGAGTTTTTCGATTTTATTTTACTAATGTTTCTATTTCTATATATGTATATGTAAGTGGTGTTCTTTGAATCGTAAAAAGTCGTGTGCATGTGTGCGGAAATTGAAACTCCCAATTCTATTTGGAATAATCTCAGTGACCTTAGCTTTATGGAATATGTTTTATTTTAAAATTTATTTTATTTACAAGTTTCTACTATCTAATCTTTTTTCATTACTTAAATTAACACGCTATATTTACAATTTTTGTGGCATACTTTCAGGCCTTTCAGATCGCCGTTTAATTAAGTCAATTAGCATTTTTATTATGTCATGTCGTTTAGTGTACACAATTGGTAATTGACTAAATTAAATAATTGCCTGAAATGCTTTGTTATCGTATGTGATAAAAAAATAAATTAGTTATGTAAAAAATTAAACACTATATATACTGATCGGCGTATGGCTTAAATTTGCAAATTGAGCCAGGTATTGTGAAACAACATATTTAATTTCTTTACAACTTTTAATGCTGAAAAATTAAAGAAAATTTGTAGATTTTATGCTTCTGTAAAAGTTGTTTCAATGCATAAGCCTTGAACTTTGGCTAGAAATAGGTCTGTAGCTAGAATATAGCTGATTTCAAGCTATAATCCTGAAGTTCTTTAAAAATTATGGAGCGTAAAAGCTTCAGAATCCAGATGGACACATCTGAAGATAGTTATCCAGATTTCGTAAATAACGCTGAAGAATACCAAGAAGTAAACTTTTTAGTGTCCAATATGGCTATATGAACAGAACGTCATGCAACACTGCTTTGCCTGTTGTACTATCATGGTCAGAGAGAGCTCTTATCCACGAGGAATTTTCTATAGTCACTGTTCTCGAAATCAACATCGGGTTTTCAACAATATACGACCAGAGACTTGTGGTTAAATTCTCCAGCAATTCATATATAGTCTTGATTGCGACAGAACGGCCGTAGCGAAGTGGGGTAGCGGAAAGACATACCTGAAGCTTAACTGGGGCATCTCAATGAGCGGGGTACTTTCCCTAATGCTTTGAATCTTGGTGAATGTTCTCGTGTTTAAAGTGAAATATGTCAATATCATCCAAGAGCTAACCGAAGGGTACGTCAGTGTGATACCCAACTTGGCGAATAGAAGCGGCTTAGTCGTCAACCCAAGTGAAACTCAAATTACTAGGAGAAATAAGTAGCTCAGACGTAGCTCTCCCCTTTTTCGTAAGGTCACGTCTTCAACCAATTGGAAAATGAAATACCTTGAACTTATTCTTGATAGAAAGAGACCAATTTAAAGCGAGAGAGTAGAGAAAGCAACGATTGCTTATACTGCTGTAGAGGCGCCAAAAAGAAAGGGTGGGAACTCTCACCAAAGGTCGGGTATTGACTCTACGAAACCGTAGTCAAGTAATTGCTGTTTAATGGTTAATTTATCTTGTGAAAGGCGCTCGAAATGGCTGCACTCGTGGTGAAGCTTGAACTTGTTCAAAGAGCGACTATAGTCCGGTTTATCTTGTGACCTGCGGACAACTGAAATAATTGACCATTTTACATATAGCACCGGTAGCCATTGCTGGCAGCGAGCTTTCTGTCAGGAGCTCTACGTCATTCTTACCTTTAGCGAACTTGACGTTCGTAGTGTTTTTTAGGCAGAATTGGCTGCTATAAAGTTGGTGGTAGAGGTAGTGTTACGAAGTGCACCCTTTTCAGGGAAGTGAGCACTTACACCGACAGTAGCAGGGCAATACTAGCGTTGTGCACTCAAAGATAGTCAAGCAACGTCTATYCTCACTATAAGTGGCATCAAACGTTTCAATCATCAGACTTGTTGTTTATTTTTCGGAGGCAGCTATCTCAAAACTAATTTTACTGACTCTTCAGAAAGAAAGTTATATTTAAATATATTTTTAAATACCAAATCTTGTTATACTGWCATCTTCTGCGAGAAACAGAATAAATAATCATATATGTGGTATTCCAGCTTCGTGGTGACCTCCAATATAAAAAGTATACTTGTGATATTTATACGTTTCAGACAGCATGCCCAATTAAGTCAATTAGCAAATTCTATACAGWGTTGCATTAGTTGCTGATTGACGCAAAGAATCTGTAGTCTGAAAAGCCTCATCAATCTCATATACACTGAAAGTATTTTACATTTAAATATACTTTGTTAATTAAATAATGAAAACCGTAAGCCGATAGTAGTTGCTTAGTATTAATGAACCTTTTGACTTAAATTTCACATTAGCTCCTGCTGTTTGTTACCTCTCGTCTCGCAAAAATAACCATTGAACAARTTAATTAAAGAGCTTTTGACTCGCAACTATAACGTAATTGCGGTTTTAAATTTGATATCTTTTTTTTGCTGATACTTTCAATCATTTGCGGTTTTTCTGCTTATCGCAATAAATTTGTTTCCTTACTTTATCTTAATCTACATTTTCCACGTTATTGGTATCTTTCTGCTTCAACTTTTTGTTTTTGTTTTTTTTACTAGACCCTTTGCTTATCACTTAAATTGAAAATAAATAATCAACAAAAGCATCGAATTACATTTCTTACGTTAAATTAATTTGCCGCCCACRAAGCTGCACACATTCCCATTAAGAGGCGGGCGCGTGTTCGTTTCGCTCGCTTATCCCACGTTGAGGCAAATTTGTCGCWGATGTCTGCGCTGCAGCAGGCAACTCGCCGCGATGGCGAAGAGCGCACACCATGCCATGGTTCGGCTATACGCGAGCATTGGCAATTGCGTGCTGCCGGTGGCGGCGGAATTACTGCGCGACTTGGAGCTGGCCACCACTTCAGCGTCCTCCGGCGGTATGTCCATAGTATTGCTGGCGACGATAAATTGAAAGATATCGCTGACCTGCAATCACAAACGAAAAAAGAGTAATGAAGTAAATGGACCACGCGTGAGTAAGACTGAAATAATTAATCGCTGCTCTATAAGAAAAGTAGTGAAGTGAAGTGTGCCGCGAATAAGATCTCCACACAGAGCGTTTGGAAAAGACCCTCGCCATATATGCTAYGCTTTGCGGCATGACAACTGAGATTTGTTGCGCTGCGAGTCGAAGGCGTTGCGCATGCTGGCGCAAGTCG